TATCAAATGTGCTTGCTACTTCCTGGCATTAGGCTCCCCCTGGCACTTTTATTCCAGCCATAAAAAGGCTATTTCATTGAGAAATAAAGTCCCATCTCCCTGACGTGTAACTCCTTTCAGCACTCTTACTCAACTGCCAGGCAAAATTTATGTTTCCTGGATGCTCTCTCTTGTGATTGCAACTGGAAATTGGGCAGAAAGCTGGAAGCGGATCTCCTTCCTGGCGGATGGACGTGCGCTTGTTTCTTTGGTCTCAGGAATCCTGAGAAGGCAACGTGTGTTGGAAAGACTCCTTGCCTCAGAATAAGAAGACCATGGTCGAAGCCCTTGAGTTGCTGTCTTCCAACTAGGTGCCCTTGGTCAAGGCCATAAGCCTCAGTTTCCTGACCCATAAAATGGGAATAAGCATTTCTTCATTCCTCAAAGGGGTGGTTCTGTATGCAGTGGGTAGATACAGGGGGCAAGTCTTTGGAAACACAATGTCGCCTTTATTCTGGAGGCAGGGGAATTCTCTCTGTGTCTCTGTCTCTGTCTCGTGCATGCGTGCACTTGTTTTCAGGTGTGCAATGAGGCTGCTGAACCTTCTAGACTCGTTAGAATACAAACTGCTAGATGGCACTGAATGAATTTCTCAATCTGTCATCTGGGGTGTGGTCCAATCCCTTCCCTTCTGCAGTGGCCATGCTAGACAGTGGTAACTGAGCTCCATTCCCAGTTTGAGAATTTGCATTTCTAAACTGAGCATGGTGGGTCATGGCTGTAATCTATCTCATCAATTGGGAGATGGAAACAGGAGGATCAAGAGTTCAAGGGCAGCCTCAGCTACACAGTGGGTTCAAGAGCAGCCTGACCTTCATGACACCCTGTCTCAAAAAAACAAAAAATTAGTAATTTGTGTTTCTGGTAAATTCCAGAGAATGCTGATGTTGCTGACTGGGGACCTCACTGTGATAACCAGTTCTGAGTGCCATGGTGCTGGGGTATGGGATGACTTCCCCTAGGTCTCAGGAGAGGAGAGCTGAAGAGATGAGACAAGGCTGAGATGTAGTTTAGGTGGTAGAGTCTTTGCTTAGCATGTAGGAAGCCTTGGGTCCCATGTCCAGCCTTACATGACCTAATGCAAGGTGGCTCATGCCTGTAATCCCAGAACTCAGGAGTAGAGGCAGGAGGGATCAGGGGTTCAAGGTCACTCTGAATTACACAGAGAGTTTTGAGACTGCCTTCAGTTGTCAAAGAATACGTGGGGGGGGGAGTAAAGGGGAGTGTCTATGAAGAAAAGGAGAGGTGACCTCTGGCTGGGAGAACACCCTTCTGTTCCTGTTGTCATCCATGCACCCACGTGCACACACACACACACACACACACACACACACACACACACACACTCATGCACACCAAACCCAGACCTGAAAGGAGACGAGGTTGGGCTGGCCCTGCACAGAGCCTTCATTTCTACGAACAGATGACCAGCCTTGTCCTAGGTCAGAGGTTCCAGCTATCCTGCGTTACCACTCCATACTGAATCCAGGATCAGCAAGTGAACTGACTGGCTCAATGCCATACAAGTCCTGGGTATGACTAGTCCGGTCCCCTGACAGCCAGAAGAAAGCTCTCCCCCACCACACACACAGTCTCTCTGGTTACTCAGTAATTTGGAGAATTACTGAGTTGATAGCTACAGCTCCAGTTTAAGTAAGATTGAAATACCCAACAGAGACTCACAGCCAACCCTAAAAGGGTATGCTGTGACAGGAAGCCATCACAGAAAGCATCGAAAGTCTGAGAGTTCAGGACCACAGGCTTGGTGGTCACAGAGGCAAACCCAGGCATGCCCTGGCCCTGTGTTGACTACTCCACCGGACAGACAGGAGAGAAATACAATGTCCATAGACTGGCTGTGGACTTCGCATAGTCACTGGGGAGACGAGAACCCCAGGATGTCTAGCCACATCGAATAGCCTGGGCTGGCTAAGACCCCCAACCCCAACCCCAGCAAAAACCACCCCTACCAAGATGTCATGGCACATAGATGTGTCAGGCACAAACAGATGCCTGCAAGACCTGGGTGGTCTCAGTAAGAAATTAGATGTCCCCCAGGCAGGGGCAATGTTCACAAATATGCCTGCCATAGCCCCAGCATTGGTCATGGGTACCATTCTGCCCGTGGTACACCAAGCGGGGGGGGGGGCACAGAGCTCGTGTTGTCACATCTTAAAAGAGAACAGGAGACCTTCACAGAACCCCAAGCACTTTCTAATTAAAGAAGACTGTCCCACTTGTGAGAGGATGAGGAGAGTGAGGCTAGAGGAAGAAAAGTCTGCCTATGGTTTGTTCCGGCTACAAATAGCACCCAGAGCCAAGTTCGGTTCATGCCTAGGCTCTTCCTGCCTTGTGAATTGCTGAACCATTTATAGTGATTTGCTTTGATTTTATTATTCAGACATAGTCTCAGATATTACAAGCTGGTCTCGAATGTGCCATGCAGCTTAGAATGGCCTTGAATATCCCCCTCTCCAGTGCTGGAATCCCAGGTGTGTGCCACGATGCCTGGTTTGTGCACTGCTGGGGATCAAGCCCAGAGCCTGTGCTAGGCAAAGACTCTACCTACTGAGCCACATCCTTGCCCTGTGGCGATGACCTCATTAACTCCTGCATCCGAGGACTTGGGAAAGAGTATTGAGTCACAGAACTTCAGGGTGTGCTCATGATTTGGTCTGTGATATCCCAAAGCTAGGTGGCCCGTGAAGTGCAGAGGAGGAAGAGTGACTGGCAGCAGAAACAGAGAAAGACACAAAGTGACTCCCAGAAGCAACACTGTAGCAAGGGTGAAGAACCAAGATGGAAGGCATGCCCTGTTCCCTAGTGGCCACATCGCATGCATCATTAGAATACAGGAGTGGCACAGTGACCCAGAAGGGACCTCGGGAGTCACTTCCTTCTAGTAGGGCAGGCAAGTCCTGAACCAGACCCTGTTCTCCACGTACCTTGGCTGCCCTTGTCCCTCTGATCAACCACTTAGTGATGGCTACCTTTCTAGGGCACCCACCTAAGGCCACTTGTCTCCTAAAGGTTTAGCCTTAGATGCCCATTGAGGTCAGAGTGAAACTCTCTCTCTTTCCAGGCATTCAAGCTCACACCGTCCTGCTTAAATACCTTCTCCAATGACCTTTCTGTCCCTCCAGACAACCTCAGTGCCCTTGTCATTTCTGTCACTTAGCCTAGATGACCTCGCCCAACTGTTTTTCTTTTTACAGTGGGAGGAGTTGTTTGTGCTTGTTATTTTTGAGACAGACTCTTATTTTGTAGCCCCTGCTGGCCTCAGCATCCTGAGCGCTGGGATCACAGGCCTGTGCCGCCATGCCTAGCACCTGGCTCCCCTGGCTCTTCCTGAGTTTGCCTCTGACCTTCTTGGTGTGTTCTTATGATCAAAGCAACCTCTGCCCCCAGCAATTTGCTTGGTTCTCTTCTGAGCATCTGAAATTGCCCTGTGTGGTTATTACAACTCCAATCCTAGAATAAACACACACACACACACACACACACACACACAGGGGTGGGGGTGGAGAAGGACTTTCCTCTGTCTGGAGGACCTTGTCTCAGCTGGAACTGAAATGGTACCTGGTACACAGGACTGGCTTCATAGACATCTGTCAAGAGATGGAGTCTTGAACACAACTGGGTGGGGTAGTGGCACTGTGCAGAATGACCATGAGCCCAGGTCATCAGGCTGGGCTCTGACCACTGGTCTCACTAACATCTGAAGGTCTGCCATTGTGGGATCCCTGGCCCCTGTGAGTTGACACAGACCCAGGAGAAGCCAAGAGCACCCATCGATGTGTCCAAGATGTGGGACCCAGGCTGCCTTCTGTTGGCTTCTCCCTCTAGGTGTCAGGCTTGCCTTTGCATGGGGGCCACCATCCCTGGGCAGCAGTTACCCATGGGGGACGTGCCTGGGTGGGGGCCTGGGAGGGGGCTGGCCTTGGAGTCACGGTTCGGAATCAAGAAGGGAAATCATCCGGGCTTTTAAAAAATTAAATGGAGTCAGTAATTTGATTTCAGAGAGAAGCTGAAAACCTTGTAATGGCAGGAGCAGCTCAATTCCGTGGTGAAAAGGAAAAGCCTTAAATGGGGCTATTAAGCTTTTGCCTGGGATGGATCTGCCCAGAGAAAGAGGAAGGAGGGGGACGCAGGGGGAGAAGTCATCTCCGAGGTAGGGACCGTTTATCAGCCAAGACAACCCTGATTATTTATTTATTTATTTAGTTCACATTCTGGGCGGGCATTGCCACCGGCCTCCTCTTCTTGGCTGCATTTCAAATCCCACTTCCAGCCACAGGTCGGCCTGGAGCGGGTGAGGCCCTGCCCTCTCAGGGAAGCACTGAGTGGGATTCTGGTCCAGGCCACAGCTGGGCTTCTCTCGACCACTGAGTTTGGGAGCTCTGGGTCACTGCAGGTCAATGGGTCTGTCCAAGCCAGAAGGGTACCAGCTGCTGCCCTAGAAACCACGGGATGTGTTGAACAGAAAGCAAAGCAGTGACACTCCATCCTCCCTCCCCAGAGATGCCAGCATGCTTGTGCAGGGCCCCGTACTCGCACACAGGGCTTTATGTGATCCTTGCTCACCCCCTTCAATGACCCACTGGAGAGGAGCTAGTATCATTTCCATTCAAGCGATGAGGAAATGGAGACTCAGAAAGACTAGTGCTAAGGTTACAAAGCTGGAGTGGAGACACAGGGACCAGAGCCCTAGATATGGGTGGGCCCAGCTCTAAGGCCTGCACGCTGCCCAGATGCCTTCCCAGATTTAATAGTGAGATGTAAAACACAGCTGGGCCTGCTCCGGGAGGCCAAGGGCTCTTGTGCTGTCGCAGCCCTCTTCCTGAAGGGAAGTGTGAGCATACCAAACCATGTCCTCCCTTTCCTTTGTGCCTCCCCTCCCTGGACACTCCTATGACTCACCCCTCAAGTCTGTCGAGACACCCCTCTCCATGTGCTAAAGCTCAGAGAGCTGATGGCTCTCGGGTGGGGGCCAACCTGGCCTCCATCAACTCCTGATCATCAGGGATCTGGGTGCCAGGCTCACTGGAACGGGGCAATATGGTTTCTGTAGGAGCCAGAAGGCTTTGGGTGTGTGCAGGTAGGGGACTGGCTGTGTGTGCAGCCCACAGCTCACGCCAGCCCTCAGGCCATACTGGCACTGACTCAAACTGTAGGGTTCTATCCACACCTTCAGAAGTCGTTGCAGGCTTCTCAGAGGTGGAACCCAGAAGGTTCCTGGGAAGTGTTGTCTGGGAAACTGCTGGGCCCACACTGTGCCTTCCAGGGAGCTCGGGACTTGAGGTCCCCAGATGGGCACTGGCATCTGGTTGCCTCCCTCTTGGGGTGGTGAATGTGACATCAGTCCCCAGCAAGGTGGTGAGTCCCAGCCCTTCTATGCTGTGACTTGGTTCTGAGGTTGACAGGTCCAGGTGCCCTTTGGCCTCCTCTCCAGAGGGATCCTGGTCATTCCGTAATAGCTCCTCAGCCTTGAGTATCGGTAGTATCTCCTGAGGCCTTCTGGGAGCAGGGTGGAAAATCAACCCCTCTTCAGTCAGGCTGCTCGTGAAGGGCCTTGTCAATGGTGGGAACTCCTCACTGACGTGGGCAGGCTCCCTTGGGATGGGCTCCTTGGACTCTGTTGATTTCACAGTCTCTCTTGACAATTCTTCCGGTGGGAAGGGTCTCCCTGACGGCTGGGCAGAGTCCTGCTGGGAAGGTCCTCTTGGAACTTCAGTTAGGGGAACCGATGGCTCAAAACCCAGGAGCGTTTGGGGCCCACCAGATCGCCAAGAAGGCCACAGAGGAGAGGGGACTTCTGAAGACAAATGTGTGGTCATGGCAGTGGGAGACAGGACGATGGATTGTGGGGGTCTGGGGCCAGCCTGGGAAGCCTCCGTGGGCTCTGAGGAAAGTGTAGCTGGAGTACGGGGGTGTGGAGTTAAGTCTGCTTTGTTTGGAGGAGTCTGAGGGCCATGACGCTCCTGAATTGTGCTGGGGGAAGGAGAAGCAGCAGACACCCAGCTTCCCCGCTCCGGTCTGCTTGTTTGCATGAATGGCGCTGCCAGTCCCATCTGCAGAGAGAGGAAAAGCATCAGAAATAAGAGCATATGGCCCTGGCCACATGTGAACCTCAGCCTCCAAGACCCCCACCTCCAGACTAGTGCAGCATGTCTGTTTTCCACCCTCTTGTGAATACAGCTGCTGTCTTTACTTCTGTCTCCTTCAGCCACATCTCTCAGGACACAGAAAGGGTGAGAGCCAGGTAGGACAGCTGAAAAGGCCCTGCCCTTAGGTGGAAGCACATTAGGTCCTGGGCTCCCTGGGAAACATTCTGAATTTGAGGAAGACCCCGTTGAGGCCTTCATTCCTTCCTGGGAACCAGACTCTTGGGTGGGGAGCAGCATGCAGTAGACACAGCTGTGGCTTTGCCTTGATGGATTCTTTCACAGGCTGATGTACGGCACGCTGAAGGGGCTCGTCCAGGGCAGCCATTTGTGGGATCTGGAACTGGGGAGAGGCAGCAGACGGCACTTCTGTGGAAGCAGTCTCCCATCCAGGGAACAGGGTGGGTGGAGTAGTCCTCGGTTTGGCTGCTGAGTCCAGCGGCTTTTCCCTTGAACCTTCCAAGATGGAAAGGAGAAGTTAGCCTTCGACCTAAGGAAGTGATATCTTGCTGACGTTTGCAATAAAGGCCATGAGCATTTGTCCCCTTCCCACAAAACAGAAGCCTGGTGGTCAGTGCCCAGCACTGAGTTAGGAGCTGTCCTCATGGCCAAACCTCACAGACCTTTCAAATTGAATTACATATGCTAGAAATACAGCTAAGTTGGTAGAATGCTTGCCTTAGCATGCACAAGGAAGGCCCTGAGTTCAATCTCCAGAGTGACATAAACCACGTACGGCGGTACACACCTGTAATCCCAGCAACTCAAAAGGTGTTGACAAAAGGATCAGGAGTTCAAGGCCACCCTTGACTAGATAGTCTGTGCTTGAGATTCTGTTTCAAAAACTAACAAACTTAAAACACATAAATCCAGGCTTCTTCCACCCCAACTCACTGCCTAGCCTGGATGCTACCAGCTGGTTTCATCCTACAGTCATCTCCTATTTTGAGGTACAACAGACTGATTGTCCCAGCCCCAAGAATCGAGCGGAACTGGGTAATATTGCCTGCCTGACCATTCTCAGGTTAACCAGCCCCAGCACTCTTGATGTCCTAGACCAGGCCATGCTGTTCTGTGTGGTAGGGCGTCTTGTACATTGTAAGGTGGCCAGCAGCACCCTTGGCCTCCAGTACCAGATGCTAAGTACTTCTAATCCATAGGTCCAGTACAGCCATTTAACATTTCTTGGCTCAGGCTGTAAGTTGGTTCAAATGCTGAGATTTTTGTAGTCATTTTGTTGTGTGTCTATGTTTAAGACAGGATTTCCATATGTAGCCCAGGCTGTTCTTGAACTTACCATCCTTCCTCCTGTGTTAGCCCCCCAAGCTCTGAGATGGCGGGCATGAGGCACCACGCCCAGCTCTGTTAGCAGCTTCACACAGAACAATGACCAGACTTGGCCACCAGGGTCTCCCTCCTGACAAGGCAGAGACCTCTCAGCTCTGTCTCCAGAGAAGGCAGGTCTGTGTCTTTGGGGGGAGTCTGGTGGCTCCTGTTGTCCAGACTGCCTGCCGCTCTTTCCTATCCTGAACTCCTCTGCTACTGTGTCGCCTTCCCCGAGTGGTGGACGCCCTTACCCTCACTGGTTTATGCTTCTCACCTGACCTTACCAGCATTCCCACCAGGTCCTCTCAGTCACACGTTACAATGTTTTGTTACAGGGAGACAACGTGCCACACCGCACATGTGGAGGTCAGAGGATAGCTCCCATGAATCACTCCTTCCCTTTTGTCACGTGGGTCCTGGAGATTGAACTCATTCTAGCAGGCTCAGCTGCAAACGCCTTTACCTGCTGAGCCATTTTGCCAGGCTTCACCCAGTCTTCAGAAGACGACTGTCACCACACCTCCACCCCCACTGCCACCGACTTTCTTTTCAGGGGCTGGGCACCCCGCTAACTTCAGAGTTCTCAGAAGATGGCATTGAACACAGAATACTCTTAAACACTTTTGTTTGGATTTGGTTTTCAGTTTTGTCAGGGAAGAGGAAGACTTAAAAAAAAAAAAAAAAAAAAAAAAACTGTAACCTGGGACTGAAGAGATGGCTTGATGGTTAAGAGCACTTGCTGCTCTTGCAAAGGACCTGGGTTCAGTTCCCAGCACCAGAATGGTATGTCGTAACCACCTGTAACTCTAATTCCAGGGGATCTGATGCCCTCTTCTGACTCTGAGGGCACCAGCCATAAACATGGTACACAGACACACTTGCAGGCAAAACACCCATCCGCAAAAAATAAAATGAACAAAAGTTGAAAAGAGAAGTTCCAGAACGGCAGGCGCATAGGTGACCCACTCATAGTCTAACTCATTGTCTAACACCAAGAAAACTCATTGGTGAAAATCGGGTCTAATCGGCACTTTTAAGTGGTTGCTAAAAGCAAAAGCTGGAAAAGAATAACTGTAGGAGACACAGCCCCTGATCTCCAGTCTTCTAGACTGCAGGGAAAGGCAGGAGCGAAGAGCAGAGACTATAAAAAGAACAGAAATCTCTAGAAGCTGCAAGGAGGTACAGAGGAGCTGCACTGGGGACCAGGAGGGGAGAGATTCATTCCGGCTGCTGATATGAAATTAATAAAACCAGAAAGGGAACATTCTTTCCCCGTGTAAATCTTCCCAGGGAGGGAAAAAAAATCCTCCTAAAATGTTTTTATTGCTGTTGCTATTTTCGTATTTTATTCATTATCTCCCTGTGAACAACCTACCTACCCTTCAGAGGCCAGGACAAAGTCCATCTCATCTTCGTCACCTTCCCCTGAGTCCACCTGCCCCTCCCCGAGATCCCATAGCCGCCTCTTATCTCCCCTTACAAGCTGCTGGAGAGACCCCCATCTGGTGGCCTCTGCTCCCTCCCAGCTCTCTCCCCCTTTGCAAGCTCTTGCTGAATCCTGGCCGGGTAGAGTTCCAACCCTCCCTTTCCAAAATCAATATCAGTGCCGCAGGAAACCGTTAAAACAAAAGCAGCCGAAACATGTAAAAACTTTTGAGAAATATTTCCATTTTTAGCAGACGGTTAGAGCTTGACCTGTCCTCACACCCCACCCCCCAACCCATCCCGCCTTTGTCTTTGTTTCTAATTCTGAGTTTGGGGCTAGATGTGGTAGGCAGTCCCCCTTTTAATCTTTAAATATAGTTCTGAATATAATTACATTTTTATGCAGCACCGAGACATCATATCCTGGTAACGGGGCATTCTTGCACTATTAACATCTGAGTTCAATCTCCTTCCCGTCTGTCTTCTATTGAGGACAGTTAGGAAGTCTGAGATGAAAGTGATTGACATCATTTGTGAATTATGTGTATTTCCTCGTGCTGGATCTGAATGGGTTTTGCTCCTGGTGGTTTTGCATGTGTGAATACCAGGTTGTCTGGTGGTCCGGCTTTCACCGAAACCCCACTTCAACAGGGTTGTAGCATCCCGGGCTGAGCTCGCACACACCGTGTTTACAGGGCAGCTCGCCCTGGATGAAGGATGCAGCTTGAAGTCTAGGGCTCTCTGCCAAGGTGCGTCCCACACAGAGATGGTGGGATGCACCAAATGGAAATGGGACACCCAGTATCAGGTGCTCTCCTGAGTCACCACCTTCTAATGCAGTGTTGTGACAGGCTCTAGGATCCTTATTTTCTGAATTGAAAGGAAAAAAAACTGAGGTGGTAACTAAGGCTGTAGCTCGGTGGGCAGAGTGGTTGCCTAGCACCCATGAAGCCCTGGGTTGGATCCCTAGCACTTCATAAACTGACCAGAGCGTCATATGCCTGTAACCTCAACTCTTGTGGGCTAGAGGCAGAAGAACCAGAAATTCAACATGATCTTTGACTGTGTAGTGAGTTTAAGGCCAGCCTGGGCTAAATGGGACTCTCTCTGGTTGTCTCATAAAACCAAACACTGAGACAACATTCAGAGAAGCGGTACAGGCCTGCAGACAGCACCCGGGGGGCTGAGGGACCAACCAAGGCTTAATAAGACCCTGTCTCAAAAACAAAAATAAGTGAGGCAGTGGTGATGCACACCTTTAATCCCTCCACTTGGAAGGCAGAGGCAGGGGGATCTCTGTGAGTTTGAGGCCAGCCTGGTCTACAGAGTGAGTTCCAGGACAGCCAGGACTGTTGCACAGAGAAACACTGTCTTGAAAAACCAAAACTAAATAGAAAAATAAACATAAAAATAAAGATAAAGGTCAGTCAGTAAGTGTTTACCACACAAGAATAAGAATGAAGACCTGATTCAGATCTCTAGATTTCTTGTTTGAAAAAAATAAAAATACGAAAGCTCTGGGGCTGGAGAGTTGGCTCAGTGGTTAAGAGCACTGGCTGCTCTTCCAGAGGACCAAGGTTTGGTTCCTGACACCCACTTGGCAGCTCCATGTCTGTGACTCCAGGTCCACGGATCAGAGCACCTCCCTGTGCACTAGGTATACATACAGTGCACAGGCAAAACACTTGTGCACATAAAACTGAAAAACAAACAAGCAAAAACCTGAATGTTCTTAAAAGCCCCATGCCCCTGTAATCCTAGCACTCAGAAGGCAGAGACAGGAGCATCCTTGAAGTTTGCTAGCTGGTCAAAGTCACAGACTAAGTAAGCTCCAGGTTCATCGAGAGACTCTGTCTCAAAAAAACCAAGTTGAGTGAGTAAGGTAGACACTGGACATTGTTAACCTTTGGCTTCCACATTCATGTGCACACAAAACACACATACGCTCACACACACTCTCACATTTACACACACTCACACACACACTTACACACATTCACACACTCACTCATTCACACACTCACACATACACACACATACACACACATACACTCACACACATTCACATACACACACATTCACACACACATTCACACACACATTCACACACTCACTCATTCACACACACTCACACACACTCACACATACACACACATACACACACATACACTCACACACATTCACATACACACATTCACATACACACACATTCACACACATACACACACACACACACACACACACACACACAAGACTGAGTTGGGAAGTTGAAGCACTCCCGCGTCTGTCTCCCATCCATGGCCAGGTACCTTTTCTCCATTCAGGACCTAGGCCTCTCTTTACCTCAGCCAGTTCCAGCAATATGACTGACAGAGTCGCTAAGCTGCTTAGATGCCAGAGCTCCCAGTCCAGAGAATGAAACATTGCCAAAGGAGAATGAAACCAGGGCAGGGGATGAACGAGACCTCGTGTGGCATGTACCTGTCACCAGCAGGCATGCTTTCAGGCCTCCTCACTCACCCACACACTGGAAAAAGTTCTCCATTGTCCAGTGCACTGGGGAGACCATCTCCGCAAAGGCCAGGCTCAGGTCCACCCTGTAGAAAGCTCGTGTCCCTGGGGATTCTCTGGTCTCTGGGCATGGCTGTGGGGCAGCAAGGCATTGGTTACATGTGACAAGGTACATCCCAGGGCCTGGAGAGATGGCTCAGTGGTTAAGAGCACTGACTGCTCTTCCAGAGGTCCTGAGTTCAATTCCCAGCAACCACACAGTGGCTCACAATCATCCATTAAAAGATCTGGTGCCTTTTTCTGGTGTGCAGATATACATGGAAGCAGAATGTTGTTACATAATAAATAAAGTCTTTTAAATTAAAAAAAAAAATACATCCCATGTCCTATGGCTGTCCCTGGTGGAGCCATCTCCAAAACAAAGCCAGGCCTCCAGGGCATAAATGGGAAGGCTAACACCCAGCCAGCCCCCAAAAACCTGCTCTCTGCATTTTTTTCCCTTTGGTATTTCAAGACAGGGTTTCTCTTTGTAGCTTTTGGAGCCTGTCCTGGAACTCGCTCTGTAGACCAAGCTGACCTCGAACTCACAGAGATCCGCCTGCCTCTGCCTCCCAAGTGCTGGGATTAAAGGTGTAAGCCATCACCGCCTGGCTGCTCTCTGCATTTCTGACTTCATCATATGTGACAACCAATAGCCCCAAGCAAGAGGCCTCAGAGGAAGCATCAAGGCGATGCCACCAGGACACTGACCTGGTCCTGGAGCAGCATCGGTGCTGGTATGCTAACGACCACGAAGTCTCTGTCCTCAGTCACCGTGAAAGTGTTGGACTGGTGCACCCGGAGGAGTCTGGGACTCAGGGACTCTTCCACCGGGGCTCCCCTCCTGACCAGACCCAGTCTTTGCTTGGGGATGTGAACTGAGATCTCCGACCCTGGCTGAGACGATGCTGGAACCGGAAGGAAACACGACCCAGAAAATGAGCTACAGGCATGCAGGGCCATAGCTGAGCCACACCTGTGACCAACCCACATCTTATTCAATTTAGACACTGGGACTTGATGCCCTGAGACCATACCTTCAGAGACACACACACACAAAAAAAAAAAAAAAGGGGGGGGGGGGGAAGGGGCCAGCCTGTCTCACTCTCAGAGGATGCCGCCATTCGAGAAGGTCGCTGGAAAAGCAGGTGCCAGGAGCAGGCTGGCCTTTCTCTGCCAAGACTGTCTTCCCTGACCCTGCCTGGTGCCCCTTCCATTACAAGCTGCTGTTAGGGAACAACTCATATCAGTTGTTTACACTTTAGCAAGAATCTTGTTGTGTCAGCCCTCTCACGGGGACATTTTGAGCCAGCTCTGCAGTTGCTAAATGAAAGCATTTGTCTCCAAATAAAGATATTTCAAACAGTACCAACAGGGCGGGGGATGTGTATGGACTCTGCAAGGACATCCCCCGAGGCTGCGGGACTCCCCCAGGGTTCTCATTCTGAAAGGTGTTTCGTGATAAAATCCTCATCAAACCTGCAACGTTCCTCGCCCCTCATCTACCCACACAGGACAAAGCCTTATCCATCTAACTTTGCAGAGTGAGATCTTTAGAAGTTAAATTCTCTAGAGGTCAGCAGAAGGCTTCCAGACTCCTGGCTTCCTCAGAAGGTGCATGGGAAGGGAGGGTGTGGCCTCTAAGTCTTGCAGAGTAAGACCACAGGCCCTTTTACCCATCTCTGTCCTCAGAGTCCCTAGAGCCTGCCTGGGGTCCCCAGAAGTTCCCAGATCCCAGGTCTGAAGCCCTCAGTAGATAGTACAGCCTGCTCCCACGCCCATAGTCACACCTCACACCCCACTCAGCCTGCTCCCACATCCCTGCAAACTCCTCTCAGCACCAAGCACTTCAGAAGTCCTCAGCCAAGGTTGGGGCTAAGAAGAGGTGAGGCAGAATGGGGCAGGGGGACAAGGTGTTTGACAGAAGGGAGAAAACAGGAGTGGCTGACAGTGCTAAAATCAGAGGTGGGCATAGGGGCTCTCCTAGGTCTTACCCAGCGGGCACGCAGCCTTGAGGGAGTAGGCATAGGAACCGCTCACCAGCCAGAGTGGCAGGAGCTCCAGGGAAGTGTTCCATACCTGGGGAAACAGGAAGGTCCCCACTGTGGCCACTGTGCCTTCTAGAGGCACACTCCCTCCGTAAGTGCCCACCCTATCCACTCCACCTTCCGTTGCCTCTCTGAACAAAGCCCCAAGAGCCGGAGCCCAGGCGAGGGCCTGTTGCTCCAGCATAACCAGGAAATATTATTTAGCCAAGATATTTTTAGCAGGAAGCAAGCTCGGAGCAAATGTCATGTGAGCCGTCTTCTCTTACACGGCAACTTTGGGCTATTTAAAGAGATGGTAATTACGCTCCTGCCACCATGATCAGGACGCGCTGAATACATGATTGCCGGAGCCCCTCATCTGCCGAGCAGAGCACTTTACGCTAATGGGGCCCAATTTTCAAAGCCGCCTGCCTAAATCTGTCCAGTCTCACAGGTGGACACGTGAATTGGCACTTCAGGGTGACAAAGTGCTCCTTGGGGTGCCGGGCTATAGGGCCTCCCTCAAGCTCAGCACAGCCCGTTGTCCACCACTGACCTTCTGTCTCTGAAGAAGTTCTTGTCTTGAGCTTTGGATGGTGACTGTGGTGGCACCAATGTCCACATCTAACCCCATCAAGCTGGCATCCTCCAGAGAAGCCACCAGTTCCCCTCGAAGGGACAGTAACCACGGGGTCTGAAGACATAAGGCAAAGTTGCAATCCAGCTGACTAGAGGACATGCCCATTTGGAGTCAATGAGCATGATTGCCTGGGGAAAGGGGAACATTTAAGAGGATGACGAAGTCACGGAAAGGATCAATTGGCCAAGGGGTAGGACAGCAGCTACGTAAACATGCTGGTACCCTTATATTTCAGGGGAGCAGACCTCCTATAGGGGTGCTTGGAGTACAGATGAGCATACTGGGCCCCTAAGAGCAGGGCCAGTCACTCAGCTTATGTACTATCCAAGCCAGCATTACTGGCATCCTGCTGCCCTGGGCTCTCATTGCTATATTGCAGTGGGACACCATCATTTGGGGCTTTAAATAAAGATGGTGCCTACTAATGCAAGAGGTACAAGGAGGAAGCACACCCCAGTCCAGGACTGCAGAAAGACTTTGAGACAAATGGCATGCATGGATTCCAAAGACTCAAAGGGATATGAGGGGGGAAGAGGTTGCTCTTCCTGGTGACTGCAGGAAACCCTGAGTTCTGGAGAAAAAGGTGGGTGCCTGGTATACTGGCTTATGCCGATATTCCTAACACTTGGGAGTGTGAAGTAGGGTGATTTCCATGATTTAAATAACAGCTTGGGCTATATAGTAAAATCTTGTCTCAAAACAACAAAAACTGGGAGCTGGAGTGCAGCTTGGTTGGTAAAGTGATTGCCTAGCACACACTGGGTTTGATTCCCCTTCTCAACTGCTTAAAAAAAAAAAAAAAAGCTGGGTGGTGGTGGTGCATGCCTTTAATCCCAGCACTCTGGAGGCAGAGGCAGGTGGATCTGAGTTCGAGGTCAGTCTGGTCTCCAGAACAAGTCCAAGACAGTCAGGGCTACACAGAAAAATCCTGTCCTGGGAAAAAAAGAAAGACATGGTGGTACACACCCCCTCAGGAGGTAGGGGACAGCAAGATGCTTTAGTAGGTAGGTAAAGACAACTTGCTGCCAATCGTACCGACCTGAGTTCAGCCATTAAGACCCACATAATAGAAGAAGAGACTCAATTCCCTCCTTGGCACTCAGGAAATGGAGGCAAGCGGACCAAAAGTTCAAGGTGATCCTCAGCTACTTAGTGAATTCAAGGCTGGCCTGGGCTACATGACACCGTATCTCAAAAAAAAGGAAGCTAGCTCCTGCCACTGGGAACATTCAGAGAGAATCTTAGCAGGGTTCTGCCAGGTTTGTTTTTTTTTTTTTCCCCAAACAGCTTCAGGCCTCTGCATGGAGGGTGCTGGTAGGGTGGTGTGGGGGTGTTCCAGTTCTTCCAAGACCCAGGCCCACAAAGGTCACTACTGTCCTCCGACACTCCACAAAAGGGCCATGGGAGAGTGACAACCTCCTGCCTCAGATCATCCGGAGCACCAAGCCTAGCAGAACCTTCGAGAACAGTGCCCTTTCTTCACCTACCTGTCCACCATCCATCTGAGGAGGCAAGGGCCTAGAGACCTGCGGAACAGAGAGAGAGCAGCTTCTGCACACCTTGGGCAAAGGTGATCAAGCAAGCGCGTCTGCAATTGCCGCAGCAGGAGTCCAACGAGAGCGCCATGCTGCCCCGATTGTTTGCTCATTAAGACAAGAAAATCATTTATGTTCTGGGACTCAAGTGTCAACAGACCCAGGGAAATGTCGCCTCAGCTGCGGCCCTGGGCCAGGCCAACAGGGCATCTGGAGTGTGGAACACAGCTGGCAAGGCGGAGGGTGGGTGTGTGCAACATGACCCTGCGGTTCAGGACTCCGTGGGGTGGTTCCCAGGCCTCTCCCTCCCACCTCATCTCACCCCCAGCCACCCATCACCTCCTCACTGTTTCTTTACCTGCGGACTCCAATAAGCAAAGGTGGAGGAGTGTGTTCACCCAGGCACCACGCTTCAGATGCCAAATCGTTGCAGGCTCCCCCAGTGAAGAACATTAAATGCTAAGATAAGGATGGTCTCAGGTAAACCTGGACAGCTGGTCCCTCACTGCACCTGAGCCTCAGGGTGCGGGTAAGGGACCTACCTGCCTGAGCCCAGCTGCACCTAGCTATCCTCTTACCTACACTTCCTTTATTATATTATTTATGTATTTATTATGTCAGTGTGTACATATGAGGGCATGCATCTGCCACGGTGTGCATTGGGGGACAAGAACAACGTTGTCTCTTTCCACCAAGTAGGTCCTGGAGATGGAACTCAAGTCGTCAGGCTTGGGTGTGAGAGTGCCTTTAGCCCCTGAGTCATCTCACAGCCCTCCTCTTACCCTCCTATTGCCTCAACCCCACCCATACCTCATCCCCTTTGCATTTGCTGCAAGTATGGGCAGGGATACTGAGGCACAGGACAGGACCATAGGCCAACAGAGAGTGGCTACCTCCCCTTCCCTTGTCCATAAAAGTTAAGGACACTGAGTCCAAAAAGACTAATGAGCCCTGACGACCCTCCCTTCTCTCCCGGGCCCCAGCCAGCATGTACAGAATCCGTTCTTCCAGGCTGAGAGACAAGTGGATAGAGTTGAGGAAGTCCCCTATCCCCTCAACCTTGTCAGGGCCTCAGCTTTGCTGCCCCTGGCCTCAGAGAGCCCAGTACCCCACTGCCAGCAGGCTCAGCACAGCCCACAGGAGCCTGTTGGGTGAGCCTGTAATCCCCTCACCTTGGAGGTGCTGCCTTACTCGGAGAGCAGAGAGGAAGGAGATGGGAAAGGGATTTACTATTTCCCAGATCAGCCACCAAAGCCTCCCTCCTGTCTCTACACCCCAGTCCCACAGCAACAGGGCAGCCCTGGGGGGCCGGGCTTTTCCGTGGAGGGAGCAATTTTGTAGAAAGAAGGAAAAGGAAGTGGGACAAGTGCTCAGTCCAAGCCCAGCATGTCCTTTAAGGAGCCATGAGCAGACTATATTTAGGGCCTGCAGACATTCAGCAGGACTTCTGACAGTCTTCCCTGGGAGCAATCGCTAATCACTGCATTGAGTTTACCGGTGCCCCTGGGCACACTTAACCCAGGGCAATGAATAGTTATTGTGCAGCCTCCCGCTCGGGGCTTGTGGGCACACTTAAGCAAGCTCGCAGATCGCTGGAAGCAGGGCATGGCTCGGGTACACCCTTGGGCACCCTGTGCCATCAGCGGGGAGAGGCAGAGTATTAAATATCTATGTGCCCTGTGCCCGAGGCTGCATTTAGCCAGGGGCAAGGCTGGTGTAACGGCTTTAATTAAAACATAATGCAAGTTCAAGGTGCAGCCATGGAAGCGGCTGCAGAAGTCACCAGGAATGAATCAGTCAATTCGATGAGGTGATGAGGTTCTGTGTGGATGAGGAGGGGGAAATGGAGGACACCGGGTGGGAGGGGTGGCAGCCAGGATCATTGCTCCCATACAGTCCAATTCTCTGTGACTCTGCCCGGGGGAACGGGGTCCCATAGCTCTGTAGGCTGCAACACCTACCCTGGGGAAGGAAGCTGGGGATCCGGGCAGGTCAAAAAGGACAAAGTTGGCGTTTGGCTGGCCACCAGCTCTGCTTTCCTTGGTTCCTGTCCAGTGTTGAATGACATGGGCAAACTTGTCCCCTAGTGGCTGCTCCCAAAATTACAGGCCAGTGTAAACCCCAGGACGGATGAGAATGGAACTGCAGGCCTCTGAGGAGGCAAGTGTCCTTTCAGGTCTGATCATTTGGCACCAGCATAAAGCCTGGCATTCAGTGTGTGCTTCCTGGAGCTTCTCAAATGGATGGTAGTTGTCATTCGCCCGCCTTTCTCTCCACCCTCCTTTCAAATATCTCCTCCCCCCTCCCCTCCCTTCCCCTCCCCTACTCTTCTCCTTCCTTGTGGATTTGGGTTTGGGGCTTTTTTGGGTTTGTTTGGTTTTATTGTCATTGTGAGGAGGTCAGGGGACAACTTGCAGGAGTCAGTTCTCTCCTTTCACTATGTGGGTTCCAGGAAACAAACTCAGGCTTGGTGGCACAAACGCCTTTCCCACTTGCTGGCAGGGTCTTGCCCTGAAGCCAGGGCCAACTTCAAACTTACAATCCTCTTGCCATCGCCTCCTGGGTGCTGGATTCCAGATGTGCACCATCAAACCCAGCTCTAAATTCTGCATCCTGTTTGGCCACATGATACTTACAAAACTAAAGTTACCACTCTCAGAAGCTGGGGATGGGGCTCAGTTGGTAGTGTTCCCTTAGCAATCTCTGCCACCACATAAGCCAGGTGTAACATCACACCTGTAGTCCTAGCACTTGGGAGATGGAAGCAGAAGGATCAGAAGTTCAAGGTCACCCTGAGATGCATGAGACAGACCCTGTATCAAAATAAGTAAAAAATCTCAAAAAAAAAAAAAAAAATTCCTGTTCAACGAGTAAAGTCGCCATCGTTCTCTTGCTGAAGGGGGAGTCTAAGGCCTCATACAAGCCAAGCTATTGCTCTACCACTCAAATACTTTCCCAGCTCTGTGTAGCTTTGGAGCCTGTCCTGGAACTAGCTCTTGTAGACCAGGCTGGCCTCGAACTTACAGAGATCCGCCTGCCTCTGCCTCCCGAGTGCTAGGATTAAAGGTGTGCGCCACCACTGCCTGGCTATAAGTCAACTTTTTAAAATGTAATTTCACATACAGTTATAGATTTCCTGTTTTTCTTTTAAAAGCTGGAAATTCTAGCAAGATGAGGCAGAGGTTGAGTGGCTGTTCAGCCAAGGGGCCTATTCTAGCTTGCCAGGGCCCCATCACACTTCGGGCTCACAGCCCCATCTCCCACTACCAGCTATGTACGGGACGTAAGCAACTCACTTCTGAGCTACTTGTCTACTCTGTAGGGTAGGAATATATATAAACAGTAACTCCTGCCTAGTGTGCTGGAAAGGTGATACGCTCAACATTAGCAAGGCAGGGGCAGGGATGTGGCTCGGTGGTGGTGAACTGGCCTGTAATCCGTCAGTGAGGGGCTAGCGGCGTGGCTCACTGGCAGAGCACTTGCCTGATAGATGCAAAGTCCCAAGTTCCATCCTCAGCACCAAAATAAACAAATCACAAAGCAGCAGCCGTAGCCACGCCCAGTGTAGCAGGGTTGGTGAAAGATAAGCTTTGCTGAGGAAATGAAGGCTTGAGTTCAAGTCCTTACTCCTTTCTCTGTCTGGTGCACTCATTTCTGCTGTGGTTTGCAACCCTCCCCTACTCCCAGCCAGCTCTCTCTCTGTTCCATGACTACAGACACTTGAGCTCAAGGATGCTGCCAGGCAATGATACAACTGGAATATGCCATAGGCCTGCGTTCTTTCCAATGGAGACATTACATCTGAAATCCATCGCTCCCTAGTGCTGGGGATGGAACCTGGGACCTTGCACCACCCCCAAACCTGATGTCTATAATTCTTTGACATGACCTAGGTTAAATCAGGATCCAACACTGTTGAAATTGTTCTGTGGATAAAGTGCTTGCCTCCGAAGTGTAAGGACCTGAGTTTGGATCCCCAGAATCCACACACAACCAGATGCAGTAGCCAGAGTCTGTCACCTCAGCATTCCTATAGCAAGATAGGAGGCAGAGTCCGGAGACCCCCCAGAAGTATAAAGGTTGATAGGCTGGCACACGGAGCTGCAAATGAGAGGCCCTGTCTCAAATAAAGAAAGGTGAGCTCCACTGTCCTTGGGACACACAAGAAACTCATCTCATGCACACGAGCAGAGAGAGAGAGAGAGAGAGGGAGAGAGAGAGAGAGAGAGAGAGAGAGAGAGAGAGAAAGGAGGGGGAGGAGGAGAGGATAGAGTCTTAAGTCAAGCCAGCAACTTTCCTTAATCCAGAGAGAACACACACACACACACACACACAAAAAAAAAATAAAAAAAAAAAAAAAAAAAAAAAAAAAAAAAAAAAAAAAAAAATAGCCCCAATCCTGCTGTCCTTACGTTGACTGGATGTCATAAAGAGCACAGCTGCAGAGACGGTTTCATCACCACCCACCCCTTATCCTGACACAGGCCTCAATGCCCACAAGCCCAGGGGAAGGTGATACCCAGCCAACACTAAGTGTCCACAGAGAATGGTCCTTGCCTGTGTCTCTAGCTATCACCTCTGCTGGACTACACCCAAGGAACCACAGTCTTCTAGCTGGCTCTTTGAAGGGAAGCCATCCCAGATGCCCATCCCCAGCTCCCAGGCCTTCCCTGGCCCTCCCGAGCTGTTACCTGAATGAATGAGGGATGGCAACGGATTCTCTGCTCACCCAGCCTCCACATGGTCACAGGACACTTCATTATGTAGTGATCACTCTGATTCAACCTTTTTGCCCCTTTTTGAAGCATTCTGATTTCCAACCTGTAATTTGTTTCCTGGAAGTCGGACAGAATTCACATTGGCAAATGAAAGAAGGAAATGCAGTTAACAGGCCACAATTATGGGTCAGCCTCTGTTCACTGTGGGCATGATTTGGGAGGCATCCAGCCTCCCAAAAGCCTGTCTCATGAAAGAGCTAAGAAGCAAGGGGAAGAGTCTCGGGGTCTGGGGACCTTGGCAGATTCTGGCCTGTGGTAGTTTAACTCCCACTAGGGAAGTCCCAGGGCCAGGGAACTGCTGTATCTTTCAGAAGGTCACCCTTAAAGGAACAGCATGGCAGTTTGTATCTGCTCACTCCTGACAACAGACAAGTATCTGCCTGTTTCCTTCAACCCCAGTAAGAAATCCTTTGGTTCCATTCTACAGCTGAGACAGTTGAGGCTCCTCAGATGTGAGCAACCAAGCAAACAGCACATGGCCATTTCTGTAACAGAGCTTCAACAAGGGGTCTCACAGGTACCTAGGGTATCTTCCTTCATCCCTACAAAAAGCTCAAGCCCGAGCTCTGGAGTGGGGGGTGAAACAAGGTTTGTGGGGTTGATAAGCCAGGCATGGGGATACAGACCTATAATCCCAGTAGCCAAGAGGCTGAGGAAGGAGGATTCAAGAACTGCTTGCACTACAGAGTGAGTTCAATGCCAGCCTATTCAGAGAGACCCTGCCTCAAAATAAAAGGTCAGGTTTTTTAAGGGGGAGCTGGAGGTGGTGGTGCTCCGGAGACAGAGGCAGGCAGCTCTCTGTGAGTTCAAGGCCAGCCTGATCCACATAGCTAGTATGTTCCAGACTAGGGTTTATAGTGAGACCCTGTCTCAAAGCAACAAAAGAAGCTGGATATGGAACTCAGTAGATGTGCACTTTCCGGGCTCCCAGGCATTCATGAGGCCCTGAGTTCTGTCCCCAGCATTGCAAACAAATAGTTTCTCAAACCCACCTCTTTCTGCACAAGGCAGCCGGAGTACAGGGCTCGGAAGATGAAGCCGCCCTCATGAGCAGGGTGCAAGAGGAAACCACATTTGCTAAGAAGAGAATCCAGGTGGTTGGGGGCCCTCTTGGTGCCTGTGACAGAAACAGACAGAACCACGGGAGAACAGCAAAGGCAAGGTTGGAATGTCAGACGCCCAGACAGAAGCCCGTGGCTGCTCTGCTCTGGAGGGCCAGAGCACAGCAAAAATAGGACGGCAGATGCCAACAGGGAGCCCGTGGGTTCTGCTAGACGTACATGAGGACTCGGCCCTCTCACCTGCCTCCCGGCTCTGGGCCCAGCCTAGGTTGTAGAAGTTGTTCCTCTCCTGACCCCTTCCCTCCCCTGTGGGCTACTTCCTGCAGCATCCCAGAGGCCCATTGAAGCCCAGGGTAGGTCCCTCCACTCTCCATTCAGAGACCCAGGGAGGCATGCCTAGTCTTTCACTGCTCTCTCTCTGCCTTACCACACCGGCCTCGCTGTGATTTCTAACCCATCCTGGGCGCACTCAGGGGGTTTTGTACTGGCTGCATCTTCCTCCTGGCTACCTGTGTGTCTCAGTCCACCGCTCCCGTCTTGAGGTAAATCCCCCTTGTCAACGAGGCCTCTGCCATCACCCCCTCTGAACCTCACCCTGCTCTCAGGCCCTCTTTCTGCGTCACCCATTGCCACCTCGCCTGCTGAAAAATGTCTATGACTACAGTCTTGTTGCCCTCCACTCAAATGCCAGCCCCATGGCGCCAAGAGTATTTATCTGTTTTGTTCTTTGCCGTATCCCTAGCGCCTTAAGCTGCGTCTGGCGCATAGAGGGCTCTCAGTAAACATTTATTGGATGAGTAAAACACAAAGAGGAATATCACTGAGCAGAGGGATTACAGGCAGTTTTCATTATTGTCTTTAGATTTCTTCTGTTTCCATAATTATCTTGTGTTGCTTTTGAGGTGATTTTTTTAAGTCCCCCACCTCCCACCCCAAAACCCACACTTTCATTTCCAGATAGTTGATGGGAGATGAATACACCCTTGCAGGAGACAGCTCCAGCAGCCTGGATGGGGGGGACTCTCTAGTGACATGCCTTCCTTTTAAGAGCACGCAGCCTTCACGACTATCTTTAGCAGGAGATCAAGGCCGAGCCCGTGGCTCTGAAAGGCAGCTCACTGGGGAAATAAAGTGTCTAAGCCTAGATGTGCAAATTGACCCGGATCGCTTTAGTTTCCCGTTCACGTCTGCACTTTGTAAATATTTGCCTGTATCCTGCTGCTCACACCTGCTTGCTGTCCCTTCAACTTTATGGAAGGCAGCAGGCAGCATCCCCACCTGGTGCTGCTGAGTAAAAGAAACTTCCTCCAAAGCCACAGGTGTCTCTGACATCGTCTAAAACTAATGGCCTGTGGCTGGCTGCTGTGACTAATTCCCTGATTATTGACTTTATGATTTTACACTTAAAACTTCTTTATAATAACACACAGAAATGTTTAATGGGCTCTATCCAGAGCCATAAAAATTACTTATTGAACAAGCGTTTTAAAACTATTAATCTATTGTTTTCCATTAATAATGGCTTTCCAAAGAACAGGCGACAGCTTAATGTATCCTCGGCATTTTCTCCTGGAAAAGTGGCCTTTTAATACACAAAAGTCGCTCTAGCTCCAGAGGCACCGCTGGCTGGCTGACCATCCCAGGGCCAATTCAGGATTCAGGACACACCAGTCCCAGGCAGTACTTCAGAATTTCCAGACTAAGCCAGCGTGGTGGCTCACACCTGTCACTGGGAAAACTGAGGCAGGAGAGCTGCCATGAGTCTGAGGCTAGCCTGGACTGCATAGAGAGTTCTAGGGCAGCCTGGGCTGCAGTGTATGACCCTGTCTTAAAAACAAATGAATGGAGCCGGGCGTTGGTGGAGCACGCCTTTAATCCCAGCACTCGGGAGGCAGAGGCAGGAGGATCTCTGTGAGTTTAAGGCCAACCTCGAACTCCAGAGTGCCAGGATAGGCTCCAAAGCTACACAGAGAAACCCTGTCTCAAACAAAACAAAACAACAACAACAAAAAAAAAATGAATGGGAGGTGAGCTACAGGCACATTCTCTCTATCCTGGTTCCTTCTAGAAGCTTCCAAAAACTCTTCCCACTTTGCAGTGGCTAAGCTTATAGCTCAAAGTTTTCTAAGAGTGATAATTTGCCCTTCATTTGGCTGTTTTAGGCATGAAATTCCCCCACCATGCATGAGATGGGCCAGGGGCTGGAGAGATGACTCAGTGGCTAAGCGCACCAGCTGCTGCTCTTCAGAGGACCTGGGTTGGTTCCCAGAACTCACGTGGTAGCTCACAACCATTTGTAGCCCTAGTTCCAGGAGATAGACAGCCTCTTCTGGCCCCTACTAGCAATGCATGTACATGGTGCCAGACTTACATGCAGACAAAACACCCATACACATGCAATAAAGGTTTCAAAAGAAAAAAAAAATTGTGGACCAGCAAGATGGCTCAGTGGGTAAAGGCACTTGCCATCAAGCCTGATGACCTGAGTTCAATATCTGGGATCCACATGGTTGAAGAGAGAACCAAGTCCTGCAAGTCATCCTCTGGACCTTCATGTGCACACTGTGGCACATTTTTTAAAACATTTCATCTTAGTGTGCATATGAGTGCACACAGAATTTTTAAAGAATGCTTCTTTTTTTTTTTTTTTGTCCCATTAGCTTCACAGAATGATTTAAGTTTAGGGGCATATTAGCATCTGCTGGGCACTTCAATCCAGGTTTGAGACCATTTGTCAACTGAGCAAGTATCTATTAGGAGTATCCTATGCACGAGACAATCCTTAATCCTGGAGGCACTGCAGCTATCAACATGGAGCATATGGGCTGTGTCTGCTCCCATCGACCTGCTGGTGGCACTGATGACAAGCGAGTGAACAAGGGTAGAGTTCATTTTAAGTAGGAATGAGAGCTGAGAGGAAATGGGATGGGCGTGTAACCAGGTGGGGGTTGCCTTCGAGAAGGAACAGCCCCAGGAAGGAACGAGCATGAAGCCCAGAGAGAAGCCTTCCAGGGAACCCCAGCACCCATACCCGGATGTGAGGAGTGCACCGGGGACCCTTAGCACAGGCTCCAGGCAGTCTGTGGCTGAGTATCAAAAAACCTGGGGGCTGAGGAGACAGCTTACCTGGCAGGTGCAGGACCCTGGCCAGCCACTGCCTCAAACCCTGCACGTGGCTCCTTGGGATCTGCAGGGTCATGTAGTCTGAGAAGCATTCCACCTTCCCTGTGGGATAGGATGTGACTTTGGAGGAGACAGAGAGGACACAAGGGAGAGAGGAAGGAAAGGAGGAGGTGTGGATAGGCTTCCTCCCAGCCCTGCTGCAGTGACCAGCTAGGAGAGGGGTCACCTTTGCATCTAGCCAGGGTCTTATGGGGAGACAGGGAACAAGGTGATTTACTGGTGATTGTAGGCACTGAAGTCAGGACATCTGGGTCTAAATCCCGTGTGTGTGTGTGTGTGTGTGTGTGTGTGTGTGTGTGTGTGTGTCTCTACATGTGCCCGTTGCTTAGTCCATTTCTTCCTAGAATTGACTGTGTGATGGTGACGATGCTGATAAGGACATGGATGATGACAATGGAAGGAGATAGTGATGGTTGATGATGCTGACGGTAACTCCCCTCCATATCCTCTCCCAGAGTCTGAGTTTAGAGTTTAGTCTTCATCCTTTCCCAAGGATGAACTGTGACTGCTGGTAAAACCTCTTCTGGCATCTGAGAGTCCCTCTCGTGAACAAGCAAACCTGAGGGTCTCACCCTGCTCTTACGTCACAGTCACATCCCCTCTCTCAAAGATGAGCTGAGTAATGGAAAACCTGGGGGCTGAGACAGCTTGGTGGGCAAGAACTCCTGTTGAGCAAGCATGAGGACCTGAGTTCAAGTCCCCAGTACCCATGTAAACAGCCACAAGTAGCCATATATGCACCTCCCACCCCAGTGCTGATGGGTGTAGAGACGGCAGGATCACCAAGACTTGCCAGCTACCAACTTAGCTCCGGGTTCAGTGAAAGAGCTTGTCTCAAAGGAATAGGATGCAGAGTGAAAGAGCAGGACAGCTGACACCCTCCTCTGGCCTCCATGTATGTGAAGGGGCACACAGACTCAGACACATGCATCCGTCACATACATACATACATACATACATACATACATACATACATACATACATACATACATAATAAATTAATTTGTAAAAGGTGGAGGCCAGTAAGATGGCTCAGCAAGCAATAGTGCTTGCCACCCAAACATGTTAATCCGCCAGCGTCATTTAGATCCTCAGAATCCATGTGCCTTAGGTTCCTATTGCTGTGATAAAAGGCATGGTTAAAAGCAACGTGGGAAGGAAAGGGTTTATCAAACTCAGGACAGGGGCCTAGAGGCAGGATTCAAAGCAGGCCATGGAGGAGTGCTGCTTCCTGGCTTGCTCCCCTGGCTTGCTCAGTCTGCTTTCTTATAGAACTTAGTGCCACCAGCCCACAGGCAGCATAGCTTAGGGTAGACTGCTCCTCCTACATCGGTCATTAATCAAGAAAATTCAGGGCCAGGTATGGAGATGCGCATACCTTAATCCCAGTGCTCAGGAGGCAGAGGCAGGTGGATCTCTGTGAGTTCAAGGCCAGCCAGGATGATATAATGAGACCCTGTCTCAAAAACAAACAGAAAACAAAACAAACAAAAACCTACACCACTTTGTAGCTGGAGAGATGGCTCAGTGGAGAACGCTGGCTGTTTTTCAGAGGACCTGAGTTCAATTCCCAGCAACCACAAGTTGGCTCACAAACATCTGTAACTGTAGTCCCATAGGATACAATGCCCTCTTCTGGTGTGCAGATAAAAGATGCAGGCAAAACACTCATATACATAAAGTACATGATAAATAAATCTAAAAGGAACAGAAGGAGGAAGGGAGGGAGGGAGGGAGGGAGGGAGAGAGGGGACACCTCACAGACTTACCTATGTAGGTATTTTGATGGAGGATTGTTCTCAGTTGAGGTTCTTCTCAAATAACTCTAGTTTGTGTCAGGTTCACATGTATGTACATACACACACACACACACACACCAGGATACCATATAAATATCCACCACTCACACACTAGCAATAATAAATAAAATTATAAGTTTTTTTTCAAATCAGCAGGGAGGGTGGGGAGGACCACAACATAGGGCTTGGCCCAGAATAAACGCCCAACGATTATGTGCTCCTCTTGTGGTGTCTTCTGTGTAGTGAATGAGTGTCTGGTGGATTCTGATGCCAGGCTGCAGTTTGGACTCTTCTACTCATTGCTGGGGAGAGTGAAGACAAGTCCCTCACTCCTCCAGACTCTAATGTAAAAATGAGTCAGTGACCCCTGTGTGGTGGCACACGTCTTTAATCCCAACACTTGGGAGGCAAATCTCTATGCCTTCAAAGCCAGTCTAGTCTACATAATGAGTTCCAGACCAGCCAAGGCTATATATTGAGACCCTGTTTAAAAAAAAAAAAAAAAAAAAAGTCAAAGCAACAAAACAAACAAAGGGGGACACCAAGACTCCATGCAGGAGCCTGTGCCGGCTATTTCAAAACAAGTGCTTCCTCAGTGAGAAAAAGCCCTGGCTCCAGCTCCAGCCATCCCTGGGAAGCCAGGCACTTGGCTAATGCTAGCTGAGAGGGGTCTGCCTTCCAGGCCAGAGTGCTGGTTGCAAACGCTTTCCGGCTTCCACATAACCACATCAGGCAGGTTATCAGTCTGAGAAGAGGGGGCCTCCCAAAGCCTGGTGTGAACCAGAAAAGGCATGATTGATTTACCTGTCAGAGCTCCATGTGCCAGGCGAGGCCTGTCCTTGTTTGACCCAAAGGGGAGGATCCATGGGAACACAGCAGGCTGAATACAAGCCAGACAGATGGCCCTGCGAGGAAGACAGGAGGGTGTGGAGTGGGTACCCAGCCCAGCAGGGCTGCCTAGTCTGACTTCATTCAATCAGGCAATTACATCTCCTTTTTTGTTTTGTTTTCTCTTACTTTTTGTTTTTATTATTGTTCTGTTGCTATGTGTTTTAGGACAAGCCTTCACCATGTAGCCTAAGCTGCCTTAACCTCACTATATAGCCCAAGCTGGCCTCTAACTTGTAATCCTGCCTTTGCCGACCAAGTGCCCAGATTACAGGTGTACAATGTCTCAATTACAGTTCGTTCAGTCAATTATATTTATGTATATATGGATTTTATTATTTTTTATATTTGCTCTGCTAGGGGTCAAATCCGGGACATCAGAAAGCTAAGCAAGCCCTGTACTGATGAATTACACCCTAGCCCCAGAGATATATTGTTTCATGCCTTCCATGGGCAGCAGCCAGGACAGACCAAGCAGCAATGACAAAGAAAGAATTGAATAGAGGGGTCACCCATAGCAATTAGGCACTGAAGAAGAAACAGGGACGAGACACACAGGACCAGAGGGTGGAGAGGCTGATGGAGGGTGTTTCCTGGAAGGTCGACGTAAAAAAGATAATTTCCAAAAAGGCAACTTGGTGATTCTCATACAGATTTTTTTAATGAATCCGTGTTAAGGATTTTATTAAATCTTATTATTAATGAGGAAACCCTGCAGATTTACAGGCAGTTCAAAGGAGAAAGAAAAAAAGAAAAGGCAAAAGAAAAAATAAAGAACAGACATTTCTTTTTAGATCCAAGATGTTGGAAGGAATTTGCAAACAGACTGGAAAAAGCTTAGTCCACAGGGGGAGGCAGAATGTCTGAATGAAAAGCCCTCATCACATGGACCGGTCCCCCAACAAGAATCCTTCGAACGCCCCAGGGTAGTCCATGGTTTAAAGGCCCGCAGCAGGCAGGACAGATGGCTTCATTGGTTAAGTATCTGCCAGGCCAGCATGAGGACTTGAGTTTGGATTCCTAGTGTCCATGTAAAAAGCCAACCAGGGCTGCATGGTGGTGGCGCACGCCTTTAATCCCAGCACTCAGAGGCAGAGGCAGGTGGATCTCTGTGAGTTCGAGGTCAAATGGGTCTACAGAACCAGTTCCAGGACTTCCAGGACTATGCAGAGAGACCTTGTCTCGATAAATTAAGTAATCAATCAATTGATAAGAATAAGGTGGAGAGCCGGGCGTTGGTGGCGCATGCCTTTAATCCCAGCACTCGGGAGGCAGAGGCAGGCGGATCTCTGTGAGTTCGAGACCAGCCTTGTCTACAAGAGCTAGTTCCAAGGCAGCCTCCAAAGCCATAGAGAAACCCTGTCTCGAAAAACAAAAACAAAAAAAAAAAAAAAAAAAAAAAAGGTGGAGAGCAATAAAGGAGGAATTCCGTGTCTAGCTCTAGTCTCTACACAAAGTGCACATATGCACCCCCTACATACCCCTGTTCTTGCATGCCTCCCTTGACAAGGCATATACACACATGTAACACATAAATAATAAGCAATAAAATAATAAAGCATCACAAACTGAGAAAAGGAAGGTTGGAGTCAAAGAAAATGTGAGCACTAAGCAAGCCATTTCCAATGGACATAGCCAATGATTGTTAAAAATCTTAGGATCTGTGAGGTGGCTCACCAGGGAAAGGCACTTGCCACCAAGCCTGATAAGCAGAGTTGGCTCCCGGAGCCCACATGGTGGAAGGAGAGAACCAACTCCGCATCCGTTCAGTAGCACATGCATATGTAAGCATGTACATCAAGATAAATCAACGTGAAAAACAAACAAACAGCTCTTTTTGCTTATTTCAGAGCTTCTGGAACAGATAAAACATCACTAAGCAGGGCTGGAGAGATGGCTCAGAGGTTAAGAGCACTGGCTGCTCTTCCAGAGGTCCTGAGTTCAATTCCCAGCAACCACATGGTGGCTCACAACCATCTGTTATGAGATCTGGTGCCCTCTTCTGGTGTGCAAGCAGGCATGCAGGCAGAATACTGTACACATAAATAAACCTATTTATTTTTTTAAAAAATCACTGAGCTGTGGCATTTGAGCTGAGATGGAGTAGCAAAGAATTTCAAGCTTCCACCCAGGGAGGTGCATTCCAGCCAAAGAGAGCAGCAAGTGCAAACCCACAAGCATGGGGGGTGTACTGATGCACTCAAGGAACTAAACAAAAAGGTCAGTGCAAAAGTCCCAGAGTGACGAAGGACCAAGAGCAGGCATGTGGGGAGAGCAGATACACTCTAGAGTCAGGGGGACCGGGGGTTAGCCAAAAAGTAAGTCAGAAGTTCTGGAGAAAGCTAGGTAGGAAAAGCAGAGGAACCCATGTGCTTCAGGATTTCTCTGTGTAGCTCTGGCTGTCCTGGCACTCGCTCTACAGACCAGGCTGGCCTTGAACTCACAGAGATCTTCCTGCCTCTGCCTCCTGAGTGCTGGGATCAAAGGTGTGCGCCACCACACCCGTATGATTTTTAGGCAGCTGCAGAGATGGTTCAGCAGTTAGGAGCACATGTTGCTCTTGCAGAGGACCTGGGTTTGGTTCCCAGAACCCACACACAGCCATCTGTGACTCCAGTTTCGAGGCATCTGACTCCCTGTCTCTGCCCTCCACGGGCACTGCACACATGAGATGCTCTTATATGCATGCAGGCAAAACACATAAAACAAATACATCTAAAGAATATTTTTAGATTTATAAAAATAAATAACTACAGGGACTGGAGAGATGGCTCAGAGATTAAGAGCACAGACTGCTCTTCCAGAGGTCCTGAGTTCAATTCCCAGCAACAAGTTGGCTCACAATCATCCGTTATGAGATCTGGTGCCCTCTTCTGGCCGGCAGGCATACATGCAGACAGAACACTGTATACATGATAAATAAATAAATAAATAAATAAATAAAATCTTTTTTATTTGGTTTTTGGTTTCTCAAGACAGGGTTGCTCTGTGGCTTTGGAGCCTGTCCTAGAACTCGCTCTGTAGATCAGGCTGGCCTTGAACTCACGGAGATCCATCTGCCTCTGCCTCCCGAGTGCCGGGATTAAAGACGTGCGCCACCAACGCCCAGCTAAATAAAATCTTTTTTAAAAATGAATAAGTAACTACAATCCAGGTGTGGTTATTTACAGCTATAATCCCAGCACTCAAGAGGCTGAGGGAGAAGGATTCCTATGAGTTCCAGACCAGCCTGAGCTACAGTCTAAGACCTTGTCTCAAAAACAAAATCAGTTCTCAGCTTTCAGGCTAAGATCAAGTGCAACACAAATGCATGCACACATGGACGCGTGCATACTTACATACATAACATGTAATACATAACTTACATCATAACATGCAATACATAACTTACATCATAACATGCAATACATAACTTACATCATAACATGCAATACATAACTTACATCATAACATGCAATACATAACTTACATCATAACATGCAATACATAACTTACATCATAACATGCAATACATAACTTACATCATAACATGCAATACATAACTTACACACACAACATGCAATACATAATTTACACACACAACATGCATACAATGGCAAGCTGGCCTGGCTCACATAGCAAGTACCAGAGCAGGTACCAGTAGGCTTACATAGCACAACTCCAGCTCACAAAAAAATAAATAAACAAATAAACAACAACAAAAAGACCTGCAAGGTGGGGGGTATGCTTAGGGGTAGAGTACTTGCTTAGCATTCAAAGGTCCCGGGTTTTAGCAGTTAAGAGTGTGCACTACTCTTGCAGAAGACTTTATTAGCTCTTAGCACACTCATATGCTGGGTGCTCCTCACAACCCTCTGCAGCTCCAGCTCTGGAGACTCTGAGGCCTTCTTTTGGCCTCTGTGGGATCTCAGATTCACGAGCACACACCACTACAGACACACACACACATGCGGAATCTTTTCAAGATAAAATAGGTGGGTGTGGTGGGCACACACACACAAACACACACACACACACACACACCCACACCTCTTTCACCCGGCACTTGGGAGGCAGAGGCTGGTGGATCTCGGTGAGTCCTGCAGGCTTTGGGTTAGCTCTCAGGACCTCATACATTCGAGATAAACACTGTACCAACCAAAGCTACAGCCCTGGTCTCCAGAGCAAGTTTCAAGGGCTACATAGTGAGACCTATCTCAAATAAATAAATAAATCTTTTTATTTATTATATATACAGTGTTCTGCATGCATGCCTGAACGACAGAAGAGGGCACCAGATCTCACTACAGATGGTTGTGAGCCACCATGTGGTTTCTGGGAATTGAACTCAGGACCTCTAGAAGAGCAGTCAATGTTCTTAACCTCTAAGCCACCTCTCCAGCCCATAAATTACTAAATCTTTAAAAAAAAAAAAAAGTGTCCTGTATTGAAGGACTATATCAAGAGCCTAAATTCTCCTGAAAGGCAGCTCCTTAAGTGGCATTTGGAAATAGCCCTGGGGTGAATGACAGCACCTGCAAGAGCTGGTAGGAGCCAGGCCACTGAGAAAGCTCCCAGAAGCTAGGAGACGGGTTCAACCCACCACTTTCAGAAGCCAATACCATCTAAAGCTGATCCCACTGCAGCCTGTGACCCAGCAATCTTACCCACAGCACCTCGGGCTCCGTGCCCTAAAAGGCATGCACGAGGCTGTCTGTAGAGCAAGGCTGTTCCCTCAGACTGGAAACTACCCAAATGCCCATCAGCACTGGAATGGGTGCACTGGGATCTGTCCACCCAACCAGATGCCAGAGCACAGGGAAAGGCAATACGCCTCGAGATAAGTGTTCTGCTAAGTGAAAGAAGTCAGACATGAATGAGCATCTATCCCGTGATTGTATTTATAGAAGGGTCAAAAATAGACATAGTCGTTGTATTTGGAGGTGCAGATATTGGCTCCCTTAGGGAGAAAATAGGAAGTCAAGGGGGCGGAGTGGGGTGGGGTGTGACTATTCCTATGGGTGCTAGAATCACGAGTGTAAAGGCAAAACTAAAAGGCTCCCAAATGGACCCACCCCCACCAAGTGTGGTGATATCTTTCTTGCACAAATAAAGCCTGTCTGGGGGTCAGAGAATGGAGCTTGCCACTAGCTAACCATAGAGGTCTGGAGGTCTGCACAGACAAACAGGAAGTGAGGTAGCTGGGTAGAAACAGAATATAAGCAGGGAGAAACAGGAAATGACGCTCTTCTGGGATGCTGAGGAGGTCAGGTGTGCTATGGTTTCCTCCTTCTCTCTGATCTCTCAACATTTTCCTCTGTATCTGACTCCGGCATTTTATTATCTAGACCAATTAAGAACTTCATTTACAACCAAGTTACTAAGTTTTTCCAGAAAAAAAAAAAAAAAACTAAATGTTCTCTAAAATGTCCCCATTTCATTATCTGTGAGCTCTAACTGGACGCTATGGAATTCTGAGCACTGTGAAAATTGTTCTTATCCAAAAAATGTGAAGCAGGGTTTGGGGCTATAGCTCAGTAGGTAGAGTTCTTATCTGGCATGCATGGAGCCCTGGAATGATCCCCAGCGCTCCAGAGCCCTGGGCTTGATTTTGAATGCCTGTAATCCCAACTCTTGGTACCTGGAGGCAGGAGGACAAGAAGTTAAACTTCTCCTCTGTATGACAACTTTAAGGCCAGCCTGGGCTACATGAGAAAATGTCTTTAAAAAAAAAATCATACCTAGGTCGACTGCTGTTGGCTGCTGATCGGTAGCTATGGTCTAGTTTTGCATCCTTTGGGGGAATTCATTTCAGCCTTCTGGACTGCCTGTTTACACATCTGCTCTGGGGACCTCTCTTTTGAACTGAAGATGACATTTAATAAACCATCTCTGAAATATGCTCATATTTCAATTTAGTTTTTCAGTGCCAGGTAATAGATGATAGGACCTTGCACATGCGAGACAAGCACACTACTTCTTTACATTCCCAGCCAGAGACTTCATTTTTTTTCAAGTAGAGGGCTTCAGGTGAAGCTCATTGGTACAGCGTGTGACTACATGGTATGTGCAAACCCCTGGGTTTGATCCCCAGTAGACAATGTATGTGAATTCCGTATATTGTGGATACATATATGTGTGTATGTATATGCAAATGTTTAAATTTATAGTTTAAGCCATTGATCCAAGTGTGCCTGCCTAGACCTCTAATATCAGCACTTCAGAGGCTACGGCAGGGAGAATCTGAGCTGTAGACCAGTCAGAGCTACATGGAGAAATTCAAGGGACTGGAGACGTGCCTCAGTGGTTAAGAGCACTTGCTGCTCTTTCAGAGGACTGGGGTTCGGTTCCCAGCACCCATATGGCAATAATTCCAAGAAGCCCCTTGGCCTATGAGCACTGCACGCATGCGGTAACCTTACAAACATGCAGGCAAACACTCATATGTGTGAGAACCAGTAAGTGTCTAAGACAAAACAAGACAAGAAGGACAATAGGTTTCCACCAAAGGTTTCTACTGTCACTGACTCCTCAAGTTCTTGAACGTCAGAGGAGTTGAGAGCCAAGGCTAGTGTGCCAATCAGATCAATTGCCAAGGTTCTCAGTCTTCCAGCATAGGTTGGCAAAGAATGTCTAGACTAGTGCTTCTCAACCTTCCTGATGCTGCGACCCTTTAATACAATTTCTCATGTTGTGGTGATCCCAACCATAAAATTATTTTCGATGCTATTTCATAACTGTAATTTTGCTACTGTTATGAATTGTAAATATAAATATCTGTGTTTTCTGATGGCCTTAGGTGACCCCTGTGAAAGGGTCATTCAACCCAAAAGGATCACTACCCACAGGTTGAGAACTGCTGGCCTAGACCATTTCCCTAGGCTGGAATCTTAGCTGGGACCTGCAGCCTGCCAGATACAACTGTCTACTCTTCACTTACCCACTGCATACAAAATCCAGAGTAAAGCCAGGCATGGCAGCAAAGTCCTGCAATCCCAGCACTCGGGAAACAGAGGCCAGGACATCTGGAGCTTGAGGCCAAGCCTCAGCTACACACTAAGACCCTATCTCAAACTAAAAGCGAGCCAGAGAGGGACCCTCTTTCTAGAGACAACCTGGTGCCATCATCCCTGCCCCAGATTCCACGCCCTCTGCTGGAGTCTTCCCCTGGCTCCCAGCAGGGGGCAGCACTATGGTCATTTGATTAGTTTGCGGCGCGTATGCTGCCTTGTAGCCAAGGTAAGATTTCCCCAAAGGTAGGTAGATGTGCTGCGAGAGGCCAAGCGACCTAGGAAAGAAGAAGCAAGCCACTGTGGCTGAGGTGTAGTGCCGTCCTCTCCTCACCCTTGCTAGAGCCGGGCAGCCTGCACTCCTGCAGTCTCCTCCCTCCAGCTCCCACTAGAAACGGGATTCCAGCTTGGCTTTTACAGCTCCTGAACTTTCCCTTCCCAGCCTAGGGATAGACATGACTCTTCATGTCCCAAAGCTGAGGCCCACACTGAGCAGCTATGAGAAGTGGGTGGTTCCTGGCACAGGACCCAGGCCTCCTCCAGCTTGCCCGCCCCACCCAGCTTCTCCATCGCCCTCATTGTCCGCAGACCTACACAAGTCACAAAGCGCAAAAAGCACTGCAGTAAGGAGGCCAGGGCCCACTGCCAGCTACTGTTGACCTTCAAGCTGGCGGCAGAGGCCTTGCTCCTGCTCTGAGTGGGTTTGTTCTGTTCTTCAGTGGTACTGGAGACTAAGCCCTGGGCTTGCACATGCTACCCAAGAGCTCCCCAGGACAGGAGGGTGATGTGGAGCCTGGGGAAGGAGGCAGTGACTCTGGCCAGACCTCCCTTGAGAAGACTGGCTTCCTCGATGCCTCCTTTTCATCCCTGTGCTCAAGCAGTCACAGAGATGACCAAGCCTCGCCCACCCATCTCTTCCTCTCTGCACGTGAAGCTTCTGGACTCTGAAAGAAAATACTTGGTTTCTGCTCCAAAGGGCATAAAGGAAGTTCAGGGCTCCCCTGGTCTCTCAGTTCCCATGAGGACCAAAGACCCTCTTGGGAGGCCTGGGTAAAACCGCTTACCAGACAACTGCCACAGACCCCCACATCCTCAGCCTGGTGGCTCTCTCCTCCCCTGAAGAGTTTATCAAGTGGTACTGCCAGCTCAGAAGTAAAAGGCCAGCCTGTCCCCTTGTGGTGGTTGCCAAGAGTCAGGTACCAGCCAGGTGCCAGAATGCACACATAGGTGTCAACGCCTCCCAACTGCTTTGTGCCCCCTGGGGTGACATTAACTGCTTTATCTCTGAGGCCTCAAAGTAATGGGGTGCTGGTTTTTGTTTGTTTTTGGTTTTTCCAGACAGGGTTTCTCTGTGGCTTTGGAGGCTGTCCTGGAACTACCTCTTGTAGACCAGGCTGGTCTCGAACTCACAGAGATCCTCTGCCTCCCGAGGGACTAAAGGCGTGTGCCACCAATGCCTGGCTGGAGTGCTGTTCTTTGTTGCTGTAGAAAACACAACAAAAAGCAACTTAGGAGGAAAAGGGTTTATTACATCTTACATTCAGCCCATCACGGAAGGAAGGAAGGAAGGAAGGAAGGAAGGAAGGAAGGAAGGAATACAGAGCAGGAACCTGGCTGGAGGCAAAAACTAAAGCAGAGGCTGTGGGGGAATGCTGCTTACCAGCTTGATCTCCTCGGACTTGTTTAGCTTGCTTTCCTACACAACCAAGGGCCACCAGTCCAGAGATAGCACCACCCACAGTGCCCTGGGCCCTCCCACATTGATCATCCATCAATCAAAAATTAAAAAATGCCTCCATAGACACAAGCAAGCACAAGCCAATCTGATGGAGGCAGTTCCTCCGTTGAGGGTCCCTTTCCCCAGAAGGCTCCAGTTTGTGTCAGGTTGACAAAAACTAACGTGTATGCTGAAGGGTGTAGCCGAGCAGTAGACAGCTTGCCTCCCACATGGAAGCCTTAGGTTCCAAGGAAAAGAACAGGAGAAAGAAAAGAGAAGAGAGAGAAGGAGGGGGGAAGGAAAGGAGGAAAATGGGGTCACCAAGAACTATGGAGGGGTATTCCCTGTTTCCCAGATGGGACACCCCAAACTACAACTCTGCTTGGTCGGTTCCATTCTGGCTTCCTGCCGGTGACCCAGAAGATGCCCACCTCCAGCAACAGTCCTAGTCAACTGTTGATAACCATACAGAATCTCCACGAAGACAAGTGGAGTTTCCTTGTCTCTTCTTGGAAAACCTCAGGCCATGCAGTACTGTGGGTGTAGGCTTCTTTCTCTACCCCTTAAAAGAAGAGACTGAAAATCAATAAAGAAAAAAAAAAACAAAAAACATGTTTGGAGATAGTGTCTCTTGCTTTGTTTGCTTCAAGACAGGGTTTCTCTGAATAGCCCTGGCTGTCCTGGAACTCACTCTGTAGACAAGGCTGACCTCAAACTCAGAGATCCTCCTGCCTCTGCCTCCTAAGTGCTGGGATTAAAGGCGTGTGCACCACTGCCCTACTATAACTCTAGTTTTGAGGAATTCTAAACCCTCATACAGACTTACATGCAGGAAAAACACCAATGCACATAAACAAATAAAAAAATAAATCATTAAAGAAAAGAATATTTTTAAAAATCTTGACTTAAAATTCATAAAGGTTTATTTAATCTTAATTATGTGAATGTGTATATATCTGTGGCTGGGTGTGTACATGAGCTCGTGGGTGCCCTGGGAGGTCAGGTGCATCAGATCTTCCCAGACTGGAGTCACAGGCAGTTGTGAGCCATCTGACAGGGGTGCTGGGAATCAAACACAGATCTTCTAGAAGAGCACACATTCTTTTTCTTTTCTCTCTCTCTCTCTCTCTTTCTCTCTCTCTCTCTTTGAGACAGGGTTTCTCTGTGTAGCCCTAATTGTCCTGGAACTTGCTCTGTAGACCAGGCTGACTTTGAATTCACAGAGATCCGCCTGCCTCCTGAGTACTGGGATTAAAGGCATGTGCCACCTCCACCACTACCTGGCTAAGGAGCTCACATTCTTAAATGCTGCACTAACTCCAGCCCTAAAAATCTTGATTTTAAGCCAGCGGTGGCAGGTGGATCTCTGTGAGTTCGAGACCAGCCTGGTCTACAAGAGCTAGTTCCAGGACAGCCTCCAAAGCCACAGAGAAACCCTGTCTCGGAAAAAAAAAAAAAAGGGAAAAAAAGAACAAAGGATTTGAGAGAGGGCTCAGCAGTTAAAAGCACACGTTCTTGAAGCACGATGAACAGCGGCAGCTGGACTCCAGCGCCCCTTCCTCCCCCTCAGCATGTGGTGTTGGACCTGGAGCTTCATGTATGCTCAGCAAGTGGCTAAGCTGGACCCCTCCCCCTTATTAATAATTTGCCCAAGTGGCCTTGAACTCACTCTGCAGCCCTGCTGGCCTTCAGCTTTCAATCTCCCTGCCTTAGCTTCCTGAGTGGCTGGGGGCCTGCACCCCTGGGCCTGGCTGCATTTATCATTTTTTAATTATTTTTAATTAGACTAGAAGGAAATTATGCCAGCTATCTCAGAATTTGGGGATTTGGGGAAAACTTTTTTTTTTTTTAAGCTACAGCTCTGTTCACTTACATTTTAAAAAGTTACTCGAGCATGAAAGCACGCGCGCACACACACACACACACACGCACGGGGTTTGTGTAGGTTAGAGGACAACTTGCAGAAGTCAGTTCTCTCCACATGTGTGTCCCAGAGACCTAACGAGTCGTCAGGGTTTTTGTGTAGGTCAGAGGACAACTTGCAGAAATCAGTTCTCTCCACATGTGTGTCCCAGAGACCTAACGAGTCGTCAGGGTTGCTGGTAAGCACCTTTATATACTGAGTCATTTTCCTGGCCCTTCCCCCATTTTGTTTCGAAATTTTTCAAAACACACAGAAAACTGAGCACACTAAGTGGACCCATCTTCTAGAACCTCCTTCCTTTGTTGGTGTTTAGTTCCCTCCATTTAGACCATTTCCTTAACTCAGCTCTGTGTTGACAGCTTACTCTTTAACACCACACCATCCTGGGTTTTTCCCAAGCCAGCTGAGAAGACATGGATGAAACCTAGACCTCATATAATTCTTGAAAACTCGTGACCCAGTGTTCACACAGAGATGGGAGGTTGTCATTGCACCACACAGAAGCACCAAGATTGGGACACACAGCTGGCTAACCCTTCACAGGGACCCTCGAAGCACCCACTTCAGACAGCCCCACACAGGAATGCCAAGACGAGGCCAAACATCCTTGGTACACAACCCACTTGCCATTAGAGAACCTGAGCACTGAGGCTCTTGTTTAAACCTTAAACAGAGAAGAAGGGGCTGGCGAGATGGCTCCATGTGTAAAGACACCTGCCGCCTAACCTGACTGCATGAGGTCAAGCCCTGGGACCTAGCTGGAGGAAGGGAGATCAATTCTTCAAAGCTGTCTTCTGACCTCTGTATAAGACCCATGGTACATGCACTCCCTATATGCACATACCCAGACAAGTAAATAAATAAATAGATTTTTAAATTTTAAATAAAATAGAGAAGGAATTAGAAAGCAAATTCTCTTCCCTTTTGACAACATAGACCTCATTACACAACACACACACACACACACACACACACACACACACACACTCTTCTGGAATATTCTTAGAGAAGGAAGTCTCACTGGGGTCTTCATAAATGAACTCAAATTTCATTTTTCCATTTGGGAAAAGTCATGTTTTCAAAATTGTTTCTCCTCAATAACAATTGAGAACTGGCCAAGTCCCATCCCCTGTGTGGATTTCACCACAGTTTTATTTATGGACACCCTCTTCTCTTGCAAATGAGAAATTGCATCTAAAATATGGGGCTCTGCTAACCCACAAAACTGGTTTTCTGAAAGCACAACCACCAACCCACTCACAGGTCTCCTTTGATCCTTGAAGGTCAAAGGTTAGTAACAAAAAAATTAACTCCAATGCCATGCTTCCCAGGCATTTCCAAATGTCTGCCTGGTTAGTCACTTACAAAACATGCAAAGCACCTCATTGCAGCCCAGCCTGGGAACCAGGAGATGGACAGCTGGACATTGGGATATGGAAATTTTTTTATTTTTGGTTTTTCGAGGCAGGGTTTCTCTGAATTGTTTTGGAGCCTGTCCTGAAATTCTCTCTGTAGACCAGGCTGGCCTCAAACTCGCAGCGCTTCGGCTGCCTCTGCCTCTGAGTGCTGGGATTAAAGGCGTGGGCCACTAACACCTGGCTGGAAATGTAATATTTTTCACACTTTTGTCAATACTGGGGATTAAACTCTTGGCCATGTGCATGCTAGGCAAGCACTCTACTAACTGAGCTGTATGCCTCCCAAGCCAGTTTTTGATTTGAGAGCTGCTATTCATCCAGAATTTTCTCTGAGTTACACAAGGTTCTGAGGCATTGACCCAGCCATCTAATCTGGGGTCCACCTAATTTGGGAGTTCTCAATCTTGAATGGGGAAAAATACATTCTCGCCTTCATTAGCATCTAATTGGGAGCTGAAGAGATGGCTCAGAGGTTAAGAGCACTGGCTAGTCTTCCAGAGGTCAATTCCCAGCAACCACATGGTGGCTCACAACCATCTGTAATGAGATCTAATACCCTCTTCTGGCATGCATGCCAGAATACTGCATGCAAAATAAATAAATCTTAAAAAAATCTAATTGATTTTAGGTATCATTTGATTCCATTATGAATATAGTGAATGGCCACAATATTATTTCTCCCTAAGAGAAATCCCAGGTATTTTCTTTCATTTATTTAATTTTTGTGTATGTGAGTGCACATGCCAGGGAAGTCAGAGAAGACCTTGTGGAATGCGTTCTCTCCCACCATGTGGGTTTCTGGGATTGAAACCCAGGCTATCAGACTTGGACACAGGCGCCCTTATCCACTTAGCCATTTTACTGGCCCTAATCCTGTGTGTTTTTATGATCCTTGGCACAGAAATCTCAGACAGCTTCTGCAGTCATCACTGGTTTTTGCTTGCTTGCTTGCTTTTTGTGTTATTGGGGCAGGGGGGGCGTTCTAATCTGGGGTGTTCCACACTGGAGGCAGAGAGCTCTGCCACTGATCG